GATGAAGTGTGTCGGAGGACACCAATATAAAATGTCAGTATATCACATGTGAAATTTATTTTTCCTACTTTCACTCAGAAAGTCATTTTACTTATTTATAAAAAAAACTTATTTTCTAGGAGAAAAAAATATTTATCAATTTTTTTATACTATCCCAAGCATAAGAAAATTAGAAAACATTGCCGATCACACCCTATATATATATGTATATGTTGGGTATGTAGCAAGAATAATAGGAAATGGAGGGAAGACGAAAAGAGAAGAACTTGAAAAATTGGGAACTTGAAGAGTTGAGAACTTGAAAAGTCCTCTTATGCTGTATTGAAAAGGCATTTGTCCCTCATCGATGGTGGAAAGAAAAATAGGAGAGTTTAAATATAGAAACATTCCTATTAATTGTTAAAAGGGTTGGAAAGAGGGAACCCCCTCGCGCCGTCGTCGCTCGCTTGGCTTTGGCTTGGGAAAATGATCGATCGAGAGATTATTTTTTTTGGACAAAGTTTATTTTAATTATTAATTAAATTAAATAGCCAACGTTTTAATTAGTTAATTAACCGAAGGAAATAACTAAATGCTTAATATAGTAAGGATGAAACAATTGATGTATTTAAAGCAATACAAAAATAGAAGTGGAAAAATCAATTGAATCTAAAGAATAAAAAATAGATTCGAAAGTGATAGGGGTGGAGAATACGAATCTCATTTTGCTGAGATATGTTTGGAATATGGTATTATCCATCAAACTACTGCACCCTATACACCACAGTCAAATGGTTTGGCTGAACGGAAGAACAGAACATTAAAGGAAATGATGAATGCCTTGATAATCAGTTCTGGTTCACCAAGAAATCTATGGGGGAGAAGCCATCCTTACGGCTAACAAGATACTCAATAGGGTACCCCCGTAGCAAAACGCAATCGATTCCATATGAGTTATGGAAAGAAAGGAAACCCAACTTGCAATATTTCAAAGTGTGGGGGTGTCTTGCCAAGGTTGAAGTTCCTTTACCCAAGAGGGTGAAAATTGGACCCAAAACAGTGGATTGTGTATTTATTGGATATGTTGTGAACAGTAAGGCCTGCCGGTTTTTGGTTCACGAATCTGATAATCCTGAAATCCATGTGAATACGGTAATTGAGTCAGATAACACTGAGTTCTTTGAACACATTTTTCCGTATAAAACTGAATGTGAGTCGACAAGTGAAAGATCTAAACGCCCATGGGAACAATCAAAGGAAAATGCACAACCTAATGAGGATCCTAGGCATAGTACTTGCCAACGTAAATCCATTTCTTTCGGATAAGATTTTGTGGCATTTTTGCTTGAAAATGAGCCTCCAACATTTAAAGCATCTATGTCGTCATCTGAGTCAATCTATTGGAAAGAAGCAGTCAATAGTGAGATCGAATCAATTTTAAGTAATCATACTTGGGAATTGGCTGATCTTCCTCTAGGAAATAAACCTTTAGGATCAAAGTGGATCTTTAAAAGAAAATGAAAGCCGATGGGATTATTGACTTGTAGTCAAAGGATATAGACAAAAGGAAGGTCTGGACTACTTTGATACATACTCTCCAGTAACAAGGATAACATCAATTAGGATGTTAATAGCACTGCGGCAGTGCATGATCTTAAAATCCACCAAATGGATGTAAAGACAACCTTCTTAAATAGAGAGTTGGAGGAAGAAATTTACATGGAACAACCTGAAGGGTTTGTGGTTCCTGGTAAAGAAGAGAAAGTGTGCAGACTTGTGAAGTCGCTTTATGGGCTCAAGCAAGCACCCAAACAATGGCATGCTAAATTTGACCAAACAATGTTGGCAAATGGATTCAAGATTAACGAATGTGATAAGTGTGTTTACATTAAAAACGTTCCGAATCATGAAGTCATTGTTTGTCTAGCATTATCTCAATCTCATTATATTGAAAGTGTATTGGATAAGTTCAAGTACTTGAATTTCAATATTGTCAAAACTTCAATTGATTTAAGCTTTACATTTCAAAAGAATGTAGGTGAAAGTGACTCTCAATTGGAATATGCCAGAGTGTTGGGAAGTTTGATGTATATTATGAATTGTACGCGACCAGATATATCAAGTGCTATTAGCAAACTGAGTCGGTTCACTAATAATTCGAATCAAACTCACTGGATGGCAATGAAACGTGTGTTGGGTTATTTGAAACATACACAACACTATGCTTTGTATTATAATAAGTATCCTGCCGTGATTGAAGAATATAGTGATGCAAATTGGATCACCGGGTCAAATGAAGTAAAATCCACAAGTGGTTATATGTTTACACTTGGTAGAGGAGCAGTCTCTTGGAAATCATCTAAACAGACATGTATCGCTCACTTCACAATGGAATCTGAATTCATTGCCTTAGATAAGGCCGGTGAAGAAGCTGAATGGCTTCGGAATTTCTTAGAGAATATTCCATTCTGGCCCAAACCTGTGGGACCTATTTGCATACATTGTGATAGTCAAGCAGCAATAGGTAAGGCAATGAGCGTTATGTATAACGGAAAGTTTCATCATATACGACGGAGACATAATACCTTACGACAACTTGTCTCTAGTGGAATTATCACAATTGACTATGTGAAGTCAAGCGATAATGTGTCAGATCCACTAACGAAAGGCCTAGTGAGAGAGGCAGTTGAAAGATCATCTAATGGAATGGGTTTACGGCTTAGGACAAGTCAACATGGCGGTAACTCTATCTAGCAGACTGGAGATCCCAAGAGCTAGATTCAAGGAGAAAAACAAAGTTGTGACTGACGGTTCGACATTATCAATCAACTCAATCCATTCTCATGATGAAGACAATATTCAGGAACAAGGTTAAGACTTTAAGGCTTGTTAATGAGTTAATAAAGCTTAAGTTTTAATGATTTGCTAAGTTTGGCAGATTTGACCAAATAGTGTATCTACGAGATGACACAGTTAGAAATCACCTATGTGAGTGTGAAGTGTAAGCCGCTTCAAAGAAAATTTTATGTCAAAAGCCTATTCTCTATACACTCATGAAACTAAGAGGTGTTCATGGATGAAACGAACACAACTGTAAGAACCATAAACGGTAAAGGGTTAATTGTATGACATATGGTTGTCTAGGTATACACCAAAGCTCGACGGTTCAAAGATATCGCATCTACCGATTGACCGAGTATATTCGACATATGTTCACTACGGAAAGTTCAAGGGGAAACCTACTTATCCAGATGTAATAAATTCTTGCTTGTAAAGTACACACTCGTCCGTGCATTCCTTATGTTATAACCATTCCCCATTAATGTGGGGGATTGTTGGGTATGTAGTAAGAGTAATGAGAAATAGAGGGAAGACGAAAAGAGAGGAACTTGAAAAGTTCGGAGCTTGAAGAGTTGAGAACTTGAAAAGTCCTTTTATGCTGTATTGAAAAGACATTTTTCCCTCATCGGTGGTGGAAAGAAAAATAGGAGAGTTTAAATATAGAAACACTCCTATTAATTGTTAAAAGGGTTGGAAAGAGGGACCCTCCTCGCGCCGTCGTCGCTCGCTCGGCTCGGCTTTGGCTTTGGCTTTGGAAAATGATCAATTGAGAGATTATTTTTTTTTGGACAAAGTTTGTTTTAATTGTTTTAGTTATTTATTTATTTAATTAATTAATTAAATTAAATGACCAACGTTTTAATTAGTTAATTAACCGAAGCGTTTCAATTAATTAGTTAATTAACCCGACCCGACTCGGATCCACGCACAACCCGTTTTATTTAAATCTTTCCCGTTTTGTTTGAATTTTTCGCCGTTGGAAATGATTGTGGATTCTGAAAGGATTACAACCTTTCGGAACCAGTTCCTCTTGCTTATAAATACATTGATTCTTCAGACTTATTCCTTACGATTTTTTTTTGATTTCTTCTTCTTCTTCTTCTGCACAAAATTTCTTCGTGTACTTTACTGCTGTTGAGTGGATCGCTGACACCAGAGTTTTGGGTATCAATACACTGGTGATTGAGATCATTCTATCCTGGGAGGACATATTCCAAATCAAACCTCGGATACTAGAGGGGGATAATTTCCTTTAGGGGACACTGTGCATTCAGTGGGCTTGATCTTTTCTGATTCTATTTTTTCCAGATTGTGGTACGTTTTTACAGATTTTAGTTTTGTCAATTAATTTCTGTTCATCTATTCTTACTGGTTTATTAAACTTTAGTTACTTCGTGTTTCTGCAAAGTTTATTGAAATCAGTAATTCTGATTTTTTAAACACAGATTAATAGCAATATATATATATATAAAGAAACATATACACTAAATTGAAAAAAATTAAAATGAACAAGAAGGAATATAACATTGAAAAACTAAATGAACAAACTTAACAAGATATGGAAATTGAGTAATCTAATTTGAATTAGAATACTCAGACAAGAGTTCATCCAATAGTTCACTTCCCAAATCTTCAAATATAAATACAATATTATTATTATTATTATTATTATTATCATTATTATTATTATTATTATTATTATTATTATTATTATTATTATTATTATTATTATTATTATTATTATTATTATTATTATTATTATTATTATTATTATTATTATTATTATTATTATTATTATTATTATTATTATTATTATTATTATTATTATTATTATTATTATTATTATTATTATTATTATTATTATTATTATTATTATTATTATTATTATTATTATTATTATTATTATTATTATTATTATTATTATTATTATTATTATTATTATTATTATTATTATTATTATTATTATTATTATTATTATTATTATTATTATTATTATTATTATTATTATTATTATTATTATTATTATTATTATTATTATTATTATTATTATTATTATTATTATTATTATTATTATTATTATTATTATTATTATTATTATTATTATTATTATTATTATTATTATTATTATTATTATTATTATTATTATTATTATTATTATTATTATTATTATTATTATTATTATTATTATTATTATTTTCTTCTCCATGATTTACCTTTTGTTTCTTTTTTCTTGAAATATTACTACTACTTCTCCTTTTGTGTTTCTCCTTTAAGGCTGCTGCTGGTGACAATCCATTCTTGAAGAAATTGCAATTTTCTGTTTCTTCTAACATTTTGCTTACTCTTTCAACTGGAAAATTTAGACAAGTTGTTGGACCTCTCATTGACAAAGCAACTTGATCATAAGCCAACGCGGCTTCTTCAGCGCTATTGAATGTTCCAAGCCAAACCCTAATTCCATTCCGAGTTGAATCCCTAATTTCAGCCGCAAATTTTCCCCATGGCCTTGCTCTAACACCTATATAGTGTTTCGTCTCCTTCTCAGGTCGTTCTGGATGGAAGTCATTTTCCTTATTAGAAGAATAAGTATCACTTGAGGAAGTATCTTCAAGTGATATTGATGATTCCACTGAATTTGAACTTTGTTTCTCGTCTTGAATCTTCAAAACCATTTTTTTTCTTTGATATTTTTCTTAATTTAGATATAAACAATAATGTATATTAAAGAATATATGAGTGGAAAAAACTATATATATGTGTTACCACCCTGAAGGGGAAGTCTACATTTTCAAAAGTTTATGAAATTAAGATGAAAATTATGTAATAATGGAAGAGGCAATTATTGGATTAAACAAGAGGAGCAAGTTGTGTTGTAAGTGGGCAAAAAGTACAATTATTATAATTATAGATTTGAAATGCTTTTAGGGGTATTGTTGTCCACAAGGACGATCATGAAAAAGATTTGCAATTGGTCCATTGGATTTAGTTGAATTATTTATATATATATATATTTGTACTCGAGCATACACCTTTTTTTGCAGATCAACAGTCCAACTTTAAAAAATATGAAATTGGAAATAATATAATATAGTGTAACTTTGTCAAAATATTTTGACTTAATTATCTATAATAGCATGAAAACAAAAGAATGATGCATACATTGTGGGGTGATAATTTTAATGGTTTAATCATATATATAGTTTTATATCCAACATAAATTTTTAAAGTAGAAATTCTAGAACAAATTCAATATTGATATTAAACTAGTTTGAAAACATTAACGGTTTGATTATGTTTGATAAAAGTAAAAGGCTATAGACATTAATGAAGTTTGTCTTAATGTTTATAGCATTGTTTAATTTGTAGGGTTTTCAAGAGGCGCTCCCTCTATGGTTTCCATCTTTATATCAGCGAAGATAAAAAATACAAGGTGATTATTTTCATCGGTTTTGTGCTTCTGGTCTTGGTGGATAGAATTACCTGCTTGATACTTATAGTGGCGGCTCTACACCTTTGAAAAAAAAAGCAACCGCCTTAGGCCTCATTGAGGGGCCTCATTTAAAAAAAAAATATATGTTATTTAAAAAAAAGTATCAAGTATTATTTGTAGAAAATATAAACTTTTCATAAAAGAGCAAAGAAGTAATAGAAGTTTGATAAATTATGAGTACTATGCCTCAAGAAAGATTAAATAATTGACTATAATATATTTCATAGAAAAATATATTCGAATTTAAGGCTTCCATTCGGATTTGGCTTTAGACCACCGATTTATTAGAGCCGCCCCTGGATACCTATCACTAGTGGGAGGTGACATGTATCCCGTAGAATTAGTCAAGGTATGTGAAAGTTGTCCTGGACACCACGGTCATTATATTAAAATAAATGTATTATCCTCACAACTAACATGAACTCACATTATTATTCATATATTTATCTTTTTCATTCCTCTTTCACTATTTTTATTCTCTTATTATTGAATTTTCTGAAGTCTCCCAAACTTCAAACCTAATTTTGCATTAATGTAATTAAAATTCATTATTCTCTGTTTATGAAAAGATCAAATTTACCTTTTGGTGTCTTCTTCAAATTTCAAGCACCGTGATAAGTATAAATTATTTCAATATCATTAATTATATTCACTTATCAAATTCAGTGCAACACTATTTCAATATCATTATATCAACTTATTGAGTTATATTTTATTATTCTAACTTTATATTATATTTTTCATTGAAAATTTACACTGTTTACATTCTTATTTCATAAAGTATGCGTACATCCCACCTTTACCAAATATCACTTATAGGAGTACATTGAGTAAATTATTAATTTATTATTGTTCTATTTTTATATGTCAATTAAGAAAAGAATAATTAAGATTTTTTATAAAATTTAACTTTAGGCCCAAATTTATTACCTTATGTCAATCGATTGGAAGTCAAAATATTATGAAATGTTTTTGAAAAACTAAAATCATACTTTCATGTGAAATTTGTGGATAGCACGTTCTACATTAAATAGAGGTATTTTAATATTTTAGGTAGAAAAGGAACAAGAAAATTGAGTTCTCAAAATGGAAAGTTTAGCAAAATAATAATATTATTACACGATCCTCAATATATAAGATCATTAATTAAGTAAATTCTTAAAAAGAGTAAAATTAATAAATAAATTGCTCCACCCAACTTATTAAATATGTGATAATGTTATATGTTGAAATTGTCTTATCATAATAATATCTATCTTTATTATATTGGAAGTTTGTACATTATATTGTCTATCAAAATTTAGTGCGGTGACATTGCCATTACATGAAGTGACTCTTCTCCTTCCCATGTCCCAAAGTTTAATAGGATCACAAACACATCTAATCGATCGATTAAAAATAATTATCATTACTAGTTAAATATTAGGCTTAAGCTTCAAATATTGTAGAAGGAAAGAAAATACTTTCTCTCTCTATATATAGATTGTTCATTGCAAGTTTAAATCTTCATAATGTCAAATTTTCATATGTTTTTTAGTTTCTGATAAAGTGACTTTCCTCTTATTTTCAAAAGTTTTAATTTTGAGTTAGGCTCGACGTGAAAAATTATTTATATGTCAACACTACTTCAAAAAAATCTGCATACTCAGTGTGTTCATCAATAATGTTATGGATAATTTAAATATTGGCACTAGAATATTTAATATTACTGTTGAAACAGTTTATTGTTGTTATGTCCTATAATAATTAAATGCTCATTTAAAAAATCTACGTAAATTAGTAGTAAATAATAAGTCAAGTGTGCTTATATTTCTAGTCCCGTTATGACTTTTTGACATTTTAATTATTATTTTGTTGCTTTCATTATATCGATCAAAAGTAAGCAAATAATTTAATAATATTAATTATTTACAAGGAAATATACTGGGGGGCCTCACATCTGGGATTTGTCGTTTTCCGTCGGCTGATACCCCACTTAGAATAAAAAAATAAATAAGTTAAAATTAGTTTATTTTTTCCTGGCATTTTAAATTAATTTTTTAATATATTGAGGGATCAAGGGAGGAAAAAGGAGCAAAAGGGACAATTATAGAAGTTATAATATTTGTACGTATTTTGTAGAATTTTTTAATACGTATATATAATTTGAACTTATTAAAGTCAATGGAATTATATTAAGTAAATAGAGTAAAGATTATTTCTTTAGGTTTCAAAGTGTAGGAGAGAGAACGTACCAGCAAGGGTTGTTAACTTGTTATATTAAGTTTCCTCTTATTTAATTAAAGATTTTAAATTTAAGTTCTATATATGAAAAGCAAAATCAGTAATCATTTTTAATGAATTCTTCGATAACTATTCTAATATATAAGCATACATTTCATCATTTAAAATAACAAGCGTATGTTTCATGATTTTGAATTTAAACAAGCACACGTTTCATGATTTTGAAATTAAATATATTATATGAGCTAGTAATTTTTTGTCAGATAATTGATGTTGGAAATATATTGAAAAATAGTTATTTTTTATGCAGAAATACTACAACAGTATTATAGATTTTGAATTTAGACAAACGACAAATCCAAGATAATAGTACAATATTTTATAATTTTTTTTATAGATATTTTCCTAGTAACTTTTGAATTTATATCTATTTAACTACAACTTCAGCAGTAACTATATTTGGATTTTATCCAATTTAAAAGCATGTGGGATGGGTCTGATATTTGACTTGAGGTAGACCCCTTGCTAGAAAATATTTTTCATAGACGATAGTTTCCTTCGTACCAAACACATTCATAATCAATCTATACTATAGTCTATAATTATGCCGGAAATTGGGGTATCTACAAAGTTTCCCTCTTAAGTCAAAACATTTAACATGAGGCAAATGTTTTTTTCAATGAAAAAAAGTTTCTTCCACCATTTATAAATCAATTTTGTGCTTCAAAGAATAGTTTCTTCCAAGAATAATTACTCCAACACTCTTTAACGAAAAATTATATGATATATATAAATATTATTATTATTATTATAATATATATATATATATATAAAATAATTTTTAAAATATAAATATGTAATAAAATTTTAAATATTTTTGACAATTTTTCTAGATTTACCATGATACTATCATTCAGCTGTCAACGCACCTCCACCACCACACAATGCCATCAGACCTTCCTACTTACCCTTTAAAATTGAATTAACAAAAATCAGACTCACCTACCCCGAACCAGCCTCATCTGTTGGGAAAGGCAAACACAAAATGAATGTGCACGACAGAGCAATAGCGGAAGAAAATTCAAGCCAAAACTTTTCCCCCTATTTGAACCAAGAGAAGACAAAATAATGCAAGAACAAAACTGTTTGGGCAGCAAACAAATCAACCAAACAAGAAAAATACATCAACACACGACACACCAAATTTAACGTGAAAAACCTCTTTGGTGTGAAGAGTAAAAACCACAAGACCAAAGCTCCACTAAAATCAACAAGAGTTATAAAAGTGTTCTCCAAAATGGTCACCAACAAAGTGCCAAATAATGAGCAACACAACTACAAGATAGCACCAAAAACTAGAGGAATACAAGGAGCAAAAACACCAAATCGCAGCTACTGTTCACGAGCAAAAATATGGAGTTACAGGACTCCAAATCACTCTCTCTCAGTTCTCAATCAAAGATCAAGTTTAAAGGAATAAGCTGTCCAAAAATCAGCTCAATTAGATAAGAAACGAAGCGGAAATCACGATTTGAAATTGGCTGCTAGGGCTTGTGCGAAAATCTGCACTTTCTCACTTTTCTATCTATATGAAAGCTAATCTTGTTATGACCGAACTAATTAGGTGTCATGCAGAAGCTAGCAAAGCAAACCTTGAAAGACCACGAGTAATAAGACAAACGAAAAATAGACCAAAAGACACAAAGATTTAACATGGTTCGGTCAATCGACCTACGTCCACAAATGAGATGAGCAATCCACTATATAAATATGAGAGTACAAAATATAGAGAGAAACAACCTCAATCAATTCACTGGGAATACATGAGAGGTTCACACAAGTGATAACGTATCAAGCTTATGTCCCACAAATTCTCCCCCTAATCAAAACTCTCAAAGCCCTTAAGACTACATAAGTTAGAAGGAACAAACTCCTATTTATAAAGTCCTAAAACCTTTTCCTACAAGAAAAAGACTAACC